CAGCTGAATTGGCCATCAAATTGTGTTGGGTAGCTTGGAAGTCTGACCCGGTCCGCGGGGTGTATGACACACTGAACTGGACACCACCACCCACTCCCCAATGGATTGCGGTTTTCACACACTGCCTCGCTGCCCTGCAGGTCAGGCTTTGGTTTGCCGAAGGCTCCGCTTGTGGATTTCTTAAGAAAATGCACCTGCTTTGGCCTGGACCAACTGGCGGTACCTCGCTCACGAACAAATCATGGAAGTTTCTCCTTTTTATAAGGATTATTGTACTACGATTTGGTCGGGATTCATAAGTGTGTGAAATACAATACAATACTGTATGTAAAAGCAATAAATTCGCTTTCCCGTGCAACGGTTTGGATATCGTCTTTCAGTCACCCATTTGATCGACGAATAATGGGGTATAAATACGAGAGCATTACTTATATAAATATACTGAATGCGTCTAGACGTGCGCGGGAGAAATCATAAAGCGCACAATCTAAAATTTGGCTACTTTCAGCCAGCATCTCTGATCATTGATTAAGCTGGTCACGAGGGCCAAAACAAGAAAGCCCAAGTGGACGTTTATGACCACATTGCCTACTCTTAATGCCAGTCCATAGTGCAATCAACCGCTGTTGGATTATTTTAAACACTTCCCGTCTCGACAAACAGCACACATCGAAGAAGCCAATCCGGTGAAATGCGAACCATATGTGTTGGGGTATCACAGTCTATATGAAATAAGTCGGTGAGTAAGGGCCAAATAAACGAAGCTAAAGAGAACGAGATGAGAAAACGTTTTTGAATTCAAGTACTTTTTTCAAATCATTGGTACGGATAACTATCTCGTAACTTTGATCACGCTAAAGTTAACTCCCGTCCGGTTTCTTTTTTTTGTGTTCGCCTAGTCTGGTAAATCGATTGCAAGCGTTCTATGAGTCTGTGAGACGATAGTTTCAATGCAGCTTGAAGACCTCTCCTGGACCGATGATAAGACGATTCAAAAAGCGGAACAGCAACTAACCAACATTGTTGACTATCCTGAAGATTAGCAAAAGTCTATGGCGGAATATCAATCTGATCCACAACCCGAAAGTTCAACTTGACAATCTATACCCTATGTAGAGAGGTCTAGGAAGACACGTGGGTTCAATTATCTGTTGACAGTAACTGTAACCATAAACTAAGAGGGAGAAAGTGAAGTTTGAAAATCGCCTGTGCTAGTTCCGTCTCGTAGCAACAACACGGTGAGATAGGTGATGAAGTCCGACCACTGGTTTTCTGTGCAGATAAAAGCCGTTCGGTTGAAATACGCCCAATGCACTAACCACAACCACAGAGACAGGCAGCACACATGTCTGTCCTCCACAGCGCCGTGTGTAACTCTTGGGCATAACTGAGAGAAAAGTGGTGATGGATAGCCCACAGCAAAAAGTAGGACTGTGTAACATGGGATATCAGTATTCGACTGGAACCAGACACTCTCACTTTCCCGAATCTTTCCCAAGGTAGATGGTTTTTAACACTTGGGACACATGGCTCAGAACGGATGACAGCGAAAAACAGTATGGAACTCCACCGCCTTGTTCACTGTTATGATTGGAATTTTGGTGGAAAAGTACACAAGCTAAACACAACCATATCGTTCAGTTCGTTTCCGTTGTTATTTTGAAATGTTGCCACCCGATGTGCTTTCCGTATGTGGTTAAATACAACTCGTAGCGCTTAACAGATACGCAATTAGGAAAGAATAGGAAAATACGAATCATCTATAGCAACAGTGCTACGTCAAGTCAAGTCAGGAGTGAACATCCTGTGTGAACAGAATTTTCAGTGAAAAGAATGTTATCACTTTTGCTTTGGCATTCACGCCATTAAAAACGAGGTTAAAGATATGACAAATAGCTACTAGGATGGTAATGAAGAGGACAATGAGAGCGCGTAACAAATGAAGAAAATTTCAACATGAAAATTTACACTAGACTATGTATAAGTTCGTTTGATATTCGTTCCATGGAAACCAACAAAAGAGAAAGGTAAGGTACAATGCAGTTGTGAAAAGCAGTAGTACGAGTATATAAAGGTTTAAATTTATTGCAAGTGACAGAAGTTGCAATGCAGCAAGATAGGGCTGAGTGTAAATGATGTGATGCATTGGATAAGACAGAGTTACACAGACGGTCACGAGGGTGTATTGGGTACCCGTTAGGAGTTGCACCTCTGACTCGGAGGGCCCCTTTAGGACATCCTCCGTCATTTCGTCTCCATCAGGCGCTCAGCTCTCGCCTGTGGCTCCAAGAAGCTGTTTGGATACAACTGTGGCCACGCTCCAGTAAACCACTCGACAGGCGGGCCGAACTAGGTTGAGGGTAACCGGGAGCTCAACTCCCGGTGAGTCGATGTCTAACGTTCGTGTTGAGCGGATGAAATCGCTTTCACCACTAAACGGCCAAGGTAATGACTCCGTACTCATCATGGATGCAGGGACCCCTACTCAGTTAGGAACTGTCAATGGCGTATGAGCTCCCCCAGCCCCCAGTTGGTCACCGGCAACCATGCGCTACCTTCCTGCTGACTTTCAGTTAGCACTTGGATATGCAAAGGCTAGAGATTCCACCTCGACCCAAAGCCGGGTGACATTGGGGACGTTTCCTGTACCTAACTCCCCAGAAATTTCATGGATATTCACTTGATATTCTTGAAGCCGGCTTATCCTCTCCCAGGAGCCAGCCGCCGTAAAATAATAAAATAGTAAGACGGTTACAAGCTTTCAGGTGTTGGTTGATAATGGAATCGATCAGCTCCTCTTAAGATACAGCTCCATATCTAGAGATGCTTTTCAGAGAGCGTCTAATTAATGTTAAATCCTTAAACAGTAGACCAGGGAAGATAACGGGAGAGCAGTAGATCCAAAGACATAAAACGCACGAGAAAATCAATTTAGAAATGATGTACAGTGGCACTCTCACCTATAGAAGGTATGAAATATAAAAGGTCAACTTCTTGACTTTAAGAACTGTTTGTTCTATGTGATGGGAACATTGGAGGTCAGTGGACAGGAAATATCCAAGATATATGAAGTGTTATCACCTTTCAACTTTTAAGTTACTGACTAAGATGTTGGGAACAGATGATCCAGAAAGCGTTGATGGCCTACTGTTAATGGAAAACAGAACTTCAATGCATTTGTTTGGGTTTAAAGAACCATTCACAAATGGAGCTTATGGGTGATTGAAGGGTTGTTATTGTGAGATGCACCAATAACTACTATGTAATCCGCATATTTACATGTGAAAACATTTGGGGTGACTGGCAAGTTTTGGATATAAAAGGGGAACAGAAAAGGGGACAAAAGTGCACCCTGCATTACACAGTGGTTTACAGTAACAGTGAAAGACCTAATACCATGGCGACAAGTGAATTGGCGTCTGTCGGTAAATTAGTCGTGCATCTCATTGGCAGCTCGAGGNATTCGAGATGAACAAGCCTCAAAGAATCATTGCAAAGATTCTATATGTTGTGGATTATATGCGCTTTATATCAGTCAACTCGATACCAGGGTCAGTTTGCAGTGTTTTTATAGTGAGTAGTATAAGAATGACTGGTCTAAATTTCCTAGTCGAGTTGCCTGAAGTTAGACGTATCTAACCCACAACAACAATGGTCCTTCTAGGCTGTTTGCTTGGAATGAACTCCCCGAATGGCAAATGAGATTTGTGCATAATTCACATCGGGAGTTCAAGTATAAGAATGATCGGGAAAAGGATTAACGGATACGCATGCCTGACGAGCCGCAAGGACTACGAAGCCGGTCACGTACATCTAGGAAATTCTGTTTAGTCACTACTCACAGCATAACGATTCATATATATATATATATATTTATATATATATATATATATATATATATATAGTGGCACAAAGAATCACTA